GGCTGGCTCCCCTCCCTTTTCCCCCGCGGTTTCGCTAGAGAGCGAAGGGAAAGAGCGGCGCGCCTCGACCTCGACGGGTTGGGTTTTCAGGACAGACGGTTGGAAGGACGGCGCGGGGCTGCACAAACCGCGAGGTGAGTGGAGTTGGCGCCCGTCGAATCGGCCTTGCGGCGACTCTTTCTTCCCGGCTTCCTTGCGGCCGCCTTGGAGAGGCTCCCAGGGCCCGTTGTCCCTTCTGCCTCTCCAAGCCCTCCCGCGGCGAAGGCAGTGGCCGTGGCGGCCTGACCTCCCCTCTTTCCTCCAGCAGGATGGTAACGGACGTGCAACTGGCCATCTTTGCCAACATGCTTGGCGTCTCGCTGTTTCTCCTGGTCGTCCTTTATCACTACGTGGCCGTCAACAACCCGAAGAAGCAGGAGTGAACGAGTGACTGGACTGCTCTCTTCTTACCCCAACCCCCCGAAAGGTAATTCAGCTGCCCTTCTTTCTCGTCCCCCCACCCCCACCCCGCAACAGCTCACGGATGGATCCGGTTGCAGCGATTACCTCACCCCCCCCTCCTTTTCTTTGACAGAATGCAGAGCCATCAGCACAAGGAAGCATGGAGCCCCAGATACTCTAGCCGTACGTGGCTTTGTTGAAACCCTGAAGATAATAAATGGTTAGAGAATACACTTCAATTCCTGTATCAGAGCCTTGTTACATTTGCATCACTTCCCAAAGCAGATTCCAACTGTCAGCCTCTCTTACACTTACATACACACACAGTCTTCAAAAAGCAGTTTTTTTCTTTTCCTGACAAATGAAATTTATTATAGAAACATGTTACAAGACAAACTTGTTTCAAAAATAGCTTCCAACCCAATAACCAACTATGTACAGTGGTGGAAATAATATTGGAGGAAGGGCCTTGGCCACAGCACTGGGCTGTAGTCGACCAGGAGGAGCTGGTCCTTTTATGCTTCCCAAATGTCATACGTGCACCTACAGAGCTTCTTGCAATTAGCCTGGTTTGCTTCTTTTTTGAAAGGCACCTCCTTGACAAAGAAAATAAATTAGATGGATCCCCCAGATTTTGATGAGGATTGCTGGGAAAGAACCAAAGAGGACCCATTTTCCCTTAAGCCTTTGATGTCTTGTGTAGCTGGCTACAAATAGGATGTGATGTGATGAGGCTCTTATTCCTGGGAAAGTCTCAAAGCCAGAACTACTGGCTGCTGTCATAAAGAGCAGCTTTGGTTTAAAAGAGCAGAGAGAGGAGAGGAAGGGGGGTGGTTGGATCAGGAACTCATCAAGTGCCAACAAGAAGGGTCTCAAGAGGTTTCTTCCACACCAAGGGATGAGTTGGAGTCAGCGTGTTCCTGGTATGCTGTGGGGTGGCGGCACTTGAGCTGGAGCACATTGGCCGCAGCTGTTGTGCCCCCACTGGCAAGTCAGGCCTCAGTGCAGAAAGACAGGATCTTGCGGTAGGTGAGCTGGGGGGAATCTGGTCGCCCAGGGAGATGCTGCAACAGAGAGAGCTGGCTCAGAGGACTAATGATGTCAACTGCAGCTATGCTGCCCCAAAGTTTCAATAAGGAGGGTGACTACTGCCTATACAACGGTAAAGGCGTTGCTTCTTCTTCTTCTGTCTACAAGACAGGGGTTCAAGGGGACGGCAGCGGCTGCAGGTAAGGGTTGCAGCAGCATCTGGCTTTGCAGAGCTCCCTCCTCCCCATACCTCGTCCAGCAAAACTTTGGGAGGGTTGCACAGAAAAAGTGATTCTTCCCTCTGACCCGTTACCGTCAGCTCTGGCATTTCCAGCTGAAATTCTGCAGGAAGAGAAACAAGGTTGCATCTGTTGCCACTGTCTGGTGTGGAGAATCTGAGGGACTGTCCAAAATGGACAAATGTCAGCCTTGGTAACCAGGACAGAACGCCCTGTGAAAACCTACCTGGCAAGGAATTTTGTGCTGGCATCTGTGAGGGTGCATATTTCCAAACCTTGAGGGAAGAATTATCACTGCAGCTGTGAAATCTGAGTAAGTGCTGGGTTTGTCCTGTTGGTCTCCTGCGTATGGGAATCCGGCTTGGCCGAGGCATCAGTATATCTAGACTGCAAGGAAAATACTGGGTTGGAAGTTGTGCGTCACAGTTAACCAGTAATAAGGAACTGAAATCTTAGGAATCCTAAGAGAATGCTGGACAACACTAAGTACATACCACAATTTCTAGTGTGGTGTTCGCTTTCTAGCTAACATGTAGCTCTTCCAAGCCATGCTTGCAATGGCACAAAAGGGGAAATCATACAGATCTTCTTTCCACCCCCAATTTATAAAACTATTTGTCCCCCCCAGTCGCTATTACCTAGAAGTTTCCGATAGCTTTTCATTGTTCAGCCGTCTTGAAAAGTTCTGCATGGAGAAAGAGAAACCAGTTGGGACACAGTGTCGGCAAGACAAAGACTGGATGTACAGTCTATGTTCTCTAAGCTACAGCAAGATAAGGATCGGATGTAAAGCCTGTGTTCTGTATGCTACCATAGGGTGAGGGTGATATTTTTTTGCTTAGGGCTGGGAAGTCTTGATGGTATGAAATCACAGTGGTAGAAGGGTCATGCAAAGTGTCCTTCCTAAAGTTTGGTAATGCCAGACAACTCTTTAACAGCCCAGTGATTGATCTCTATTCTAGGGAAAGCCCTAAGCGGTCTAGCAATCTAGGAGAATGGCATCTGGCCATGGCAGTCGAGCTCTGTGTACCAATGTAATCACTGCCCTTTACCTGCAGCAACGCTAGGCCACAAGGTGGAGGAGGCTTCAGCTCCTCAGGGACATGCTCTGATTCCGGCAGTCCATGACAAGCAGTTACTACTGTGCTAGCCTTGGCAGTTGTAAGTAGACTGTTGCAGCTGGATCCTGCATGATCAATGAGAGAAAGGCAAATAAGGGCTCAAAAGGGAGGTAATACAAGAGTCCAGGCTTGTGAGGCTGCAGCTTAAGCTGAACTCCCCAGACTCCAGTGCCTCTTAGTTGTGATTTGATTGGCAGCCAGTTGCAGAAAAAGCAGTGCTAATACCAACACTCCAGCAGATTTTGCTCCTGTTTGTCTGGCCTGTTTGGAGCTATGGGAACAGTCATACCTGGCAGTGTTGGGATGATATCCCCAATAGAAGCTCAGAGGTTTGTTTGCAAAGGAACTTAGAGCAGAACCCTCTGGATAAGACTGGCTTGGCTGTGTCATTTGGGACAGAGACTTCAGTCAGGTTCCAAAGGGATTGTGAAGAGGTTCCATAGAGACTTGGTGAAATGAGGACAGCTGCTCCCTTCTGACATCAAGGCGAACACCATGAACCACAAACTAGTAAACTGCTATTTAGCCTGGCATGTTATGTAATTTCTGCCTATATAATTAGTTTATAGTTTGATGTGTTGTGTGAACAAAAAAAATCAGGTAAATTGAATAAATTCTTTTAAGTTGTGGGAAAGTCTATCATGGAAACACAGCCTATGAATATTACAAAGCAAAATATATAAAAATCTAGTCTGTTAGGCTGGATACTGGATTTCTCAGAAGTTTGATCCCATTCAGGTATCAAATTTGATGATTAATATTTCTCCTCTTGTCTGCAAATAAAGTACTGTTTACTGATATTCTTCAAATGTGACAGAGAATGGCTATACATATGGAGGCAGAAAATTGGGAGAGATGCTGTATCTTCCTTAGTGAACAGTACAAGGAGTCAATTTCTGGATGGAATCCTTAGAAAGCCTGAAGGTAGCAGCAGATTGGACTAAAATCTTATTTTCAGTCAAACCAGAATAAATGCAAAAATCAATGTTGTATTTTTTAAAAATAGAGGGTTATCAATGATTTGCTTGTTTCCTTATCTCAACAAACCTTGGGTGAGTCTTTGGTACAGTCTATCACACCTCTGTAACTGATTGCATCCAATTTGCTTGTTTGTCTCTATATTACTGCCACCTAAGACTGTAAGCTGGTGCAGATTTGGCTCAAACAAGTCTCTTTGCCTCCACTTCTTCCTCCCATGGTTTTCCAAGATTTTTAACTATTTTGAGCTATTGATTTTAAATACATATATTACTCATTCTGAGTTGTATAGGCAAAAATCTATTTGTAAAGCCTAACATTTCTTCCAAATGCTGTCAGAGCATGCTGAATAAGTAAAGCTGTCCTGGCAGCACATAGAACCTTTTAAAGTCATGTTGCTTTTACCCACCATTAAGAGCACAGTCCAATGTTAATTCCAGTTTAACTGTAGGTAGAAAGACCTTGTGAAAGCAGCAGCCAGCAGCTTCTGCTCAAGAGTAACACCCTTCTCTGCCTGAATATTTTTCTTGGATAGGAGCAGCTGGAGTGGGTGGGTATGAATAGGCCCCTGGAAATGGAGTGGTCTGCACTGCTCCAACTTCAGTGTCAAACATCTCTCCCACCACCCAATTAGGTTTAATTTCAGTAGAACCTTTTTTGAACCAACCTTGCAAGAAACAAAAAGCATAGCTAGAGATTAGTCCAAGGAAAGAAGGAACTCCCTGAATCCTCACACTGTGGCCCACCATGGGTTGAGGGGCTATGCTTGCACTTTAATTACTCAAGTAATATTGGTGGCAACTGATACCTGGCAAGAACAGGTCAACAGTAAGTGACCTGTTACACCTGTTGCAACACTTACATCGATGCTGCTGGCATACTCCAATAGTCCACTCAATTTCTGTTGTAGAGGCAGTCTTTGGCAGAGGGGGAGAGAGGCAAAGTGGCATACAAACCTGGTATGTTGATAGTAGTTGGAAGGGAGCAGGTGCCTAGGCTGGGAGCCAGCTGGAGATGAGAGGCGGTTCTGGTGGAGCAAGGGAGAGAGGGTGCCTGGATGCTGCTCACAGCAGCTCGTAGCAAGGTCTGGTGCTGATGGCGCCTCTTCTCCTGAACTCGAGGTTCTAAGTAGGATGAGGGACAAGCAAAATGCCAGCTCTGAAAGGTCTTGGTATCACCATCCCACTTAGGTTCCATTTATTCCTTCACAGAAACTACCTACGGATCATCCTTCAATGAAAGAAGCTTACCTACACTATTATAGGAATTGGCTAATGGGGAAGATGAGAGGACTCCACTATCTTCTTTTCAACTAAGGCCAATCCCATTTGTTTCACAGTGTACTGTACTGTAGATTATTGTACTGTGATAGGAAGGAGAACTGTATGGCATACTTGGTACTACTGAAATCCATGGAAAATACAGCTGCAGTGTGTGTCTGTACACGCGCACATGCCCAGACAAATGTACAAGCTTTGGATAGGCTATACTGATCTTTTCAGGGACAAGACAGAATAACCCAGGGTGTTACTGGAAAGCTCTAGTCTCAGAAAAGCTGATAAAAAGACAACATTTCATCCTTGCAAGGATGTCAATTTCTTCTGCCTTCTGCCACATGTGGAGATTGGTGCTTATACTGTACTACAGGCTCTTGAGTCTGGAGTATCTGTGGGCCACCTTTACCCTGTGTTACAAAACCAGCAGTGTGTGTCTTGGGGAAGGGAGCCAGTTATAGAAGATACATCCACACATGCTGAGAGACACAAAACTTAAGATCTTCATGCATTCACTGACTCTTCCCTTAAGACTTGTCAAATGTTGACATTTTTTCTTTAGCAGCAGTAGCAAGTAAAGATGACAAGAAAGTAGGAGAACTGCAGAGTACCTGCCCTCTCTGTCTAAGCTTTGCCAATGGAGAATTTAACTGATATTGTGGCACATTCACATAACATACTTAACACTGTTTCTAAGGTAACCCATTTTCTTGTTACCGAAGTAACCCACTTAATACACTGAACCATAAACTAACCAGAGTATTGTTTATCAATGCCAGGCAAAATAAGTCTACTTTATACACTCAAATATTTGTTTTCATCCAAGGGAAAAGACCACCATGAATGTGGTATCCATCCACTGACTGGGTCACCTTGGATCTTAACTGGTTTCACATGTAAAGGACTTTTTGTAAACATCTAGAAAAATATAGCTTGCTACCTTTATATGTATTAGGTTATGATTTAGAGCTCAAGGACTCTGACTCAAATCTTGCCCTTGATGAACTGTACCCCCTCTTAGTTTAATAAGTTGTTGTGGGGACAAAATGAATTGCCATAGACACTACCCTGAAGCTTCTCAGTAGGATGGGTGAAATTAATACAACAGTCTGGAGGGTTGGAACAGAATGTATCTCAGGAGATGTTGGAAAGAGGAAGCTCCATAACCTTTTCCAAAACACCCAGCGTACTACTGGAGAATTCCATTTTCCTAGTTTTCTCATGAGGCAGCAGTTCACTTAACTTATCAAGTGACTCCTCTGTCCAGTGCTATATGTAAGTATCACAGAGACCATCTGATCACAGAGGCCATCTGAAGTCCACGGTCCCCCTTGGTTCAAGGAAAAAGATAGGGGGCTTGCATTGACACAGGGGAAGCTTGTGCACGATTCTTGTATGTATGTTTATTTCATAAGAAAAATTAAGAAGGAAGAATGTTCTTTTAAGGCTGCTGCTTTCCACAGCACATCCATTCCCAGATCCATCTGAATGCTCCCAGCACAGATTCGTCAGGCAGCTTACCTCGCACAAGTGCCAGCACCCTTGAGGCACATTTCCGAGGGCTCTGCCCCATGCCCCCCGTGGAGGCAGTGGGGTGAGGGGAGCTGAAGGTGAAGCTGGGTGAGGTCTTGACCTGAGCGGTAGCTTGTGGATTGATGCTACCATTGCTGAAGCTCCTGGCTCGGCAGAGAGAATTCTCTGAGCTGGAAGCAGAGATCCCACTGGGAGAAAATGTAAAGGAACAGAATCAGAGACAGGGCAGCTGTTCCCAAGATGTCCCTGCAAGGGTTTTTTTGGGGGTTTTTTTGCATCTGAGATACAAAGTCTTATCCTAAGGTAATCCTTCTCAAACCTGTTGCATGGTGCCTAAGCACAACTTAGTTTCTATAAGCAGCCTATTCCTCTTCTGCTCACCTCCTCCTCCTTCCTTTACCTTCCAGAAGGCCATTAAAACCCAACTCTTTACCCAGGCACTGGGGTAGAGTGGTGGAGCCTGAGGAGAGTTGTTGGGGCACCCTGGGAGGTTGATCGAGGTGCCAGATTTTTAGTTTTTATATGTTTTTATAGTTTTATTGTTGTGAGCTGCCCAAAGTTGTTTTAAGATGGGCAGCCATATAAAACTTGGCTCTCACTGGATATTTTGTTTTAATGTGACATAACAAAAATAAAATAAAATATCCAGTGGGAGCCAGTTTGGCATAGTGGTTATAGACACCAGGCTAGAAACTGGGAGGCTGAGTTCTAGTCCCACCTTAGGCACAAAGCCAGCTGGGCGACTGGGTCGGTCACTCACTCTCAGCCCTAGGAAGAAGGCAGTGGCAAACCACTTCCAAAAAATTCAGGGACTTGTCCAGGCAGTCGCCAGGAGTCAAGATTGACTCAAAGACACAAAACAAAATATAAAGCAACATATCTGTTAACTGCTAACATTATCTGTTACAAGTAAACTTGCCATGTTTCTTACATATAGTTCCATTAATTTTATTGCTAAAAATTGTGTACTAGAGTGTTCTCTCCAGTGTTGGTATTAGAAGAGGAATAATACAGACTATATATAAACCTCTCCTCAAACAATATAAAAGAAAATAGCACTAGAACAAAGTGCCATTTTTTTTCTTGAAATCTGGATAGAACTGTTGTTAAGGGAGTGGGAGAAGAGGCATTCCTCCAAACTGAATGTAGATCAGTGGGGATTTCAGGTTTATCATCTAACCTCCTCAGGTCCCCTTTTTGGAATATTAACCTTTCTTTTGTTCTCCTGACACCCATAAGAAGTATCAGAACTGCAGGGTGATATGTACGATTTCAAATGCTACAATCAGCCTCTTCTCTCAAAGATTAATTTTTTTAAAAAGCTTCTATGACAAAATAATCTACAGGGGGAAAGGTTCTATTTTCTCTACTATTAGGACTATTTGAATGTAAGGCAAGGGAGGGATACTGAGATATTTGTTGCTGGCAGCTATCCTTTTTATGCAGCAAAGCTGCAAATAAAGGGACTGTAGCAAGAAAGTCCAGGGCCAGGAAAAGATTTGTGGAAAGCAATCCTGGATTCCTGCAGATAGACCTCTACCTATCCTAGTTGCATTTCCTATGAACTTTGCTTTTCTCGTTGAACCTACATGTCCCATCCAGTCACATACTTGCCCCCCTTGGGTGGGGTTTTGGTGCCCTTCCTCCTGGAGTAGCCTGCCACTCCCCTCATGCTGCGCACATGTTTCAGCATCCAGGCACGCAGATTGCTAAGGCAACTGTGTTCAGATAGGACAATCCGAGGCCAGGGGTTGCATTCTGCCATATCCAGTGCTGCAACTGCTAAGGCCCTTCCAACCTGTATATGGAGGATGGCAGTAGATTGTTAGAATTGAGGCCTTGTACATTTGTCTTTGCTTGTTTTTAAATATAGGGCAGGACCCCTGTATTCAACAAAATAAACCAGAAAGACCCCACCTTAAACAATTGCTGCTAAGTGTACCCCTACAAATAAAGGGTGATGAGCTTTATCAAGGGCCTCAAATCTGGGTAGTCAGATGTACTTCCTATACCAATATCATGTTGATTGATAAACTATGAAGAGAAAACAAGACTGAAGCAATCAATCACTGACATCAATTAAGATGCAGATAAGACCAGCCAACCTCCAGCCTGGCAGCTCCTTTCAGCACCAATTTGTGTCCCAATTCCATGATTCCAAATTTCTTTTGTGTACTGCACATGTTTGGCTTATGTGTTTCAGAGGGGAACACACAAGCAAAGAAACTTGGAGAAAAGACCCAACATACTGGGTAGAAAGTTTTAGCAGGCATGGTGTGATTCCTGGGCCATTAATGGTAAATCAGTTCCATACTTGGCAAAGGCATGATATTGTTCAATCTTCCCAAATTTAAGCCAAAGCTATACTTGGCTGAGAATGGACAATCCCAAAGTAAATCATTTTTATCAGCTACCTTGCATAATGTCAAAAAGGAAAACCGGGCACAAATTGAAATAGCTGTGGTAGGACGTTGGGCATGGAGCAGCCTAGATTTAGTGCTTTATGACCCACACTGCATGCAGCATGCAAGCAATGTTCCATGGCCTGCTGGTATGTGAGCAGCCTTAGCAATGAGTTTATGATGATCAGTCCCTGCCAGATAAATGGATTTCCATGTGGCTGCATTCTTCAGTCTGAGATGTGCAATTTGTTTGCATCCAAGAAAGAACAGCATCCAAGCAGGCATTCAACACACAAAATTACTCCTGAATCTGGAGAGAACAAGGAAGTCTAAAAACACACCCTCGGCAGCAACTCCCTGGGATGTTTGGATTCTGGGAAACTCCTAACGCTTTTGCCACATAAAAATTTGCCATTTGGGCAACTTTATAGCCCCACAATCCAAAGGCTATGAATGCTTTCCTCTGAGCGAATGATCATATGAGGAAATGTGTGTGTGTGTGTGGAGAAGAGTTTGAGCAAGATAGAATGATGATCCCCCTTGCATACAACTAAATAAATAGCTTTGAAGGCTCTTGCATTTATGTTCTTGAAACACTGCCTCCACTTCCCCCTGGGCAGGGAAGATGTTTCCTAGCGTAGGGGTGCAGACTGCTCTTCCACAAGTCCTGGAACACAGTGACTTACCTAACACTGAGTCTGGGGTGGGGGAAGGGTGGCCTGAGATACCTGCTCAAAGAGCTCCACAGTGTATTTGGATGGGAATGTTGGGAGAGGAGGAGGAGTTGCCCGCCCATTATCATGACATGCTGCTGGAACAGTATTGACTGATCGTCCTGTGTTGTAATTGCATTCCAGTGTGTAACTAGAAAACAGATGGAAAAGGTGTTAGGTTACCAACATTAATGCAAATTATGAACTAATCCTTAGTTTTTGGTATGACACAATCTAAAACATCTGAAACTGCTGAAAGGTTTTAATACACTGAATTCATATTTCTTTTCCCAAAAAGATGTTCCCGTAAAACCCTTTTTATACAATGGCATGATCAATAAAAATAATTGGTGTTTTTATCACTCAACTATGTGTTGGTAAAAAGGCAGATTCAGCCATAAAATAATATTATGGTTTACTGGTTAGACTTGTGACATCAGAAATGGAACATTTTGTTTGATCTGATTAGGAAAAGCAACAATTAATTTCCCTGTGCAGAGCAGTGGATTAAACTAGATGACCTTTGAGATCCCTTCCAATTCTGTGATTCCCCAAATAAGCTAGCTTTCTTTTTTTCTCTGCATTCTATACAATTAGAGTAACATTCAAGAAACAGAGGAGGAAAAGGAGAAGACCTTTAGGGGGCCCCAATGATTTCTCTTCAACAATTCTCTTTGCAGTGAATTTTAATCATGTACTAAAATCCAAGTTCTGATTCAGGCAGTTAATTATTAGTAGCTAATTCAGCTAGGCTGATTGTACTCATGCAGTTCTGTGTATTTGGTTGTTGTTCACCTTTTTTTTCTGTATTCCTCTTTTTCTAATAAGCTCCTTTTTTATCTAGATATTTGGCTTCACTGACTTAAAAAAAAAAAGAAATCTTTAACCTTTCCCATGTGCCAGACCGCAGTGCTGCACAGCTACAGCTTGTATTTCAGCATTGATGCAAGATTTGTTATAAATTGTCTACCTTCTGGTTTTCTCAGAGCTGGGCTGAAGAGAGAGGTCCTAGGTAGAAAAGCTAAGAACGTCCCAGCTGGACAGACTAGAACGTATCAGAAAAGTCAGTCTAACTGGAAGCAGCCTCTTATAACTGTTTTTTACAGGGAAGCTTTTAAGGAGCCTGTCAGTGAGGGTTGGGTTATTCATCCCAGTTTGTTACATACATATCAGACCAGTGTTTTTCAAATTTGGCAATTTTAAGATGTGTGGACTTCAACTCCCAGAATTCCCCAGCCAGCATTGTTTGAAAAACACTGTATCAGACCATAATGCTAATGAAAAGATCTTGGCCTCATGTTATTCCAGATCAAAAAGAGATATGTCAGCAGCACCAAAAGGATCAGCATGTAATCATCCTAAGCAATAATCTATGCCTCTGCTCAAATATGGATTCCTGTCATATTTTGTTAGGTAGAACTTAAAATAGCATTTCTATAAATCCCAGCCTCCCTCTGGAGGCCAGGTATTCAGCACTGTGAAACTCACTCCAACGTACTAAGAGTTACAATCCTGCTGCCAGGATTCCCTAATGAGCATTGCATCTTCTCAAGGGTCACTCCACTTGTGGGAATTCCTTCTCTCTGGCTTCAGTTTGATCTAGCAGATTCTTAAGGTGGCAGGATCTTTGTAGATATTGGAGGTTTTGAGGTGGGAGAAGAGGAACATACCTAAAGAGCCAATGGTTGAGATCATAATGAGGCAGGATCCCACTGAAGCACATACCTGTGAATAATGCCTGAGGCCTTGTAAATGGCCACACGCCCACTGCCCTCCTTTGATTGTCCATCCCGCTTGTCTTTAGCATACATATTCTTCTCAGAGAAGTTGCAGCCCATGAAATCAAAATGAGCAGAGTTCAAGGCGATGAGCTTAGGAAACAGCATGTTTTCAACCTGTAAGAACAATCAAGAGGCTGGGAACACAAAGCCATTCCCATTTCTACATGCTATAGAAGCAGGCAGTTTTGCTTCTTGCCAGAGACAGCTAGCTGGGAAGCAGCAATGTAGCCAAAGAAACTGAAAACAGTAATAAAGAGATCCAGCCTACTAGAGAAAATAATTCATGGTGATTAGGTTTAACAGTTGAGTAGAACAAACATAGTATGTAAAATGCTCAGAAGACTATGTGCTCTGACCAAGCAACCATCACCAGCCTGAAGTTATAACAGAGAATCAACACACAGAAACTTGACACCATCTTTTGGACTAAGGGACACTTGAAGGAAATGTTTAGCAGTTTAGTCAGAGAATCTCAATTGAGTCTTCTGTGACCAACAAACCCAGCCCTACAAACAAGTTGACTAGAGAGAAAAGCACAATAGCCACACACAGGAACTGCCTCTTTGTCTTGTCCCTGAACCCACTTCATCACCATCTGCAACATCCTTAAGTAAAGTCTAAGCTCATCTTGAAGGAGCCATGGGACTATTTATCTGCCTGTAATCCCTTCTGCCTTGTTCCTTTGGATTATACATAGGCAATTCTTCCTGCAATAGCCCAATTTTGCCTCTGTGTTGGCCAGGGCATTTCTAAAGGGGCCAAATAGGTCTCACCTGATAGTTCTCATCAGAAATATTATTTCCATACATGAAACAGCCACGCTTAGAGGCATGTCCGTGCAGATCAACATAGTAAGCTAGGCCACTCTGTTGAGGTGGGATGGTTTCTGGGGCAGGTGGTGGAGGATTCTCAACTTCATTCTCACAGCACTCAGAGAATAGTTCTTCTGAAAGGATCCAGACATCCGGGTCATTACTTCCTGGTACCTCCGAGGCCTCAGGGTCCTGAGATGAGGGGACACAGGAATCTCTGGAACAGTTGCGAAGGTTGTTTGCTTTCTCCAGCTCAGAAAGAGGGACGTCATCACCATGGGGACATTTGCGGGTAGAACGTTGATTGGCTATCTTTGTGTTGAGTGGAGGGACATAGGTTCGCCAGTCCGGGGCACCAGGCTGGATCCGGCTGTGAACATGGTGATAGAGCATGACAGTCTTGGCCCCGTACACAGCAGGATGCAGCTCTGCATCAGGGTTCAAATACTGACGATTCAAGTTAACTCCACGAGCATCTGTTCTGTGGGAAGCAGAATAAATTATGATGAGTGGAACTGGGCAAAGATGTCTCTCTTGTGGATCTTGAACACAGCTATACAGATTAAGTAAAGACATTCTGCCACTCGTGAAGGAAGGAAAACTGGAGCTATCGCCTTGTGCACCCATATTGCCAGGTCCCACGTTATTTACAGACTGCCCACTTAAATTTTTATTCCAGATTAAGAGATCCAAGCAGCCCTTGCCCCCTCCACATACGGATCTCAGCGGAGCTAGGAGACAATTAAAATGTATCTGTGAAAAGGAACAGACATTGCTGGCCATCAGTTTCTAACTATCCTAGTCATTGTTTTCTGTCCATTAGATCAGTGGCTAGGCTGCTTTTCACAGGCAGAGAGATTTGGACTTCTGGCTATTGTTTTGAGAGCAAGGAGCAGAGATTGTTTGATAAACCCAACAGATCTCAAATGAACACTTAAGATCTTTGATCCGAACCTATAATTCCCTCATAACTGAAGGAGGGCAAAGAGGAGAAACAAAGATCCACTCTGAACCCCTTCCATGCCTATTGCCTCAGCCTGTTGCTTTTTCTCAACCTCCAAGCAATAGTAATATGCTGTAGAAGCTAATTATGGGTAGATTACAATCAGCAATCTGGAACTTGAGGAACCAGAACTTCTTCCTGTCCCAGTCCCATCCTCCAAAGCCCAAGTGTCTGCAGGATATTTACCGATAGTGTCCTCGCATCACTCCATCCGGATTTAGCATAGGGATGAGCTTAAAGACAAACATACGCCGCAGCATTTGGGCCCGAGGATCCTCCTCCCTCAGGATGAATTCCAGGAATCCATTGAAAACAAAGCTAGAAGGTGTTTCCCCAGGATGCACTCTGCTGCTGAGAAAGAATACCTAGCACAGGGTGATGGGGTAGAGAAGAGGAGAAATGCAAAAGTATTAGTGATCTGTTCCAAAATTGAAAGCGTTTTAGCTTTCCTTAAAGTCAGCAGGACCTGCAAATATTTTTGTTTCCCATCTGTTTATGACATCATAGATTACTTATACACTGCTTTAGCATTAGGTATCACAGCACAGAAACTAAAAGGAGAGAAATCCTGCCTGGAGGATCACTCTAAAATACAATTGGAAAAGAGGAAGAGAGAAGCAAAAGGAAAGAACAAGAAGACTAAGAAATAAACCAAGGGGTAGGGTTACATTGTTTTGAGTGATGTGGGCAAAGCAATGCCTTGCTAATGTCATAAGTTACTTGATTGTCTTATCCCCCATTGAAATGAGAAATGGACAGTCATAACTGCTCTCCTATCTCATCCATAGCAATTGTATACCCATGGCTCTTTCTGAATAACCTGCTACATGAACGCCATTCAGCAGTTTCTAAGCAGGGTATTTACCTGATTGCTCATTGGAAGGACTGATAATGAAGCTCAAGCTCAGATACTTTGGTCACCTAATGCGAAGAGAGGAGTCTTTGGAAAAGACCCTGATGCTGGGAAAGATTGAAGGCAAAAGGAGAAGAGGACGGCAGAGGATGAGATGGTTAGATAGCATCACTGAAGCAATGAGCATGAAACTCGGCAGAGGATGAGATGGTTAGATAGCATCACTGAAGCAATGAGCATGAAACTCGGCAGAGGATGAGATGGTTAGATAGCATCACTGAAGCAATGAGCATGAAACTCGGCAGAGGATGAGATGGTTAGATAGCATCACTGAAGCAATGAGCATGAAACTGAGCAAACTCAGGGAGGCAGTGAAGGACAGGAAGGCCTGGCGCAATATGGTTCATGGGGTCACGAAGAGTCGGACACGACTTGACTGAACAACAACAACAGAAAGCAGGGTATTTAACATCTCACATGCGGCAACTAACTTACTCTCTTTCCCACAAAGCAGTGTGGTCGGGGTGTGTTCTTGTCTGGGAACAACTTCTCCAGTCGAGCCTCCCGCTCCTCCTGCATGCCATGACATGATGTGATGGTGAGCAAGTCCACACGTAGTTTATCCAGGGAATAGCACAACAATTCCCGATGATAATAGATGGCATCAAGATAGCTGGAGATTAAAAGAATAGGCAGGCCATTTCAGTGTGGTCTAGTTTTTAACTTACTCCAAGAGCACCACCCTTTAATTCTGTCAAGTAACCTCATACTGGCTTCTGCTCTCCTCCCCAACAAACAACTTCACACAAGGCCAGAAGGAAGTCCCCAAAGAATAATCTTCTTTTAAGGATTTTACTTTGGAAGAGAGAGGAAGGAACTTGTAGAGAATTCTCTCTGTTGCCAGCTTTCATTCCCCATCTTTGTCCATCTATCTGTAGGACTTTGATCCAATACCCATTCCAAAACTCAAGTGGAACTATTTTAGCTATCTGGCCCAACCGGTTATCCTTGTGGAATAAAAAGCCATTCACACAGTCTTCTATTCCTTGAGTAGGTGTTCTGCAAGCTATTATGAAGTAGAAGGCCAGAGGGATTTCCTGTTGGCCTCAGCCGTTCTACAGGCCCTCATCTTGAGGTAAGGTTTTTTGCAGAAGAGATGAGGGAGGGAGAAAACTGGCCATTTGGATCTTTAAAAATTCTCCCACAGAGTATCAAATTATTTCACAAAGGCAGCCTTGGGGCCCGATGAAGAACCTTGCCCATCAGCTACCTCCCACTCAGAACCACCTAGGCCTGGCAAGGGAATCAAAGCAATCACTTACGGTGTACCCCTGGGTGGGGCCGCCTCCTTTTTCCCTTTTGCACGTCCTCCTCTAGGGTACTTTCTTGTTCTGTGGGTGGTGGGGCGCGGCTTCCCCTCAGCTTTTCTAGAGTCTGCGCCTGCCCTCCGACTAATTGTGCTATAATGTTGGACACTAGTTTAAATCGGCAAAGAAGGGTCTGGCTAAGTTTTTCTTTTCCATTTCTCCAGACCATTCCCCCAGCCAAGTCCTCTTCATTAATTCAATCTTACATCCCAGCCTCTTTGAATAAACAAGCCCAGCTGATTCCAAAGAGATAGGGAAGTAAGAAAAACCAAGCAAAAGGCAAGAATTTTATCAAAATGTGTTGGAAAGAATAGGGTTAATATGGTAAGGAATTTCTTCCCATTTAGATATCCCATTTTCTCTACCCCTTTCCCTGGAGAACCAGTGTTGGATCACAGAGACTTTTAACTGGACCCAAAAAACCTATTTTTGCTTTTTTATCATTACCATAGCAGCAAGTACACCCAACAATAGGAGACAACAATGGATGAGAAAGAATAAGTAACCAGTAAGAACACAATCTTGTCATGCTCCAGGAAAATCCCTGGCTGTCACATATTTGTTTTAAAACATTTATATCCATTTTTTATTTAAAATTCTCTCACAGAAAATGAAGCAGTAAAAATATAGTAATGTAACAAGCAACAGAGGGGAAAATGATCACAGTGGAAACTAATACAGATAAAAAACAGAAGAGTAAAACTCTTCTCAAGCAATATGTCTCGGAACAAATATATTTTAATACCAAGAAAAAGAGAAGGGGCCAAATGGACCTCTTTGAGAAAAAGTTGTAAAACATATTTTGCAATCATTTCTCAGTACAAAGATGGTAGAGAAGCCAATGCATGGCAGAAAACCCGTTCTGTCTGATAAGAAAGAGTACATTCTAAAACGGGGTTTCTTGTACCAAGGGCACAGTTTTACATAAATTTTCTGGGGCTGGATTCTCACAACACATTTAATTTGGTCACTGAGTTAACCCGCTTTCTGGGTTTGCAGGATAAACTGAGTAATGAACTAAACCAAATGGGCTGGGTTAGCAATAAACAAATGAAAATGAAATAAGTTTAGCATGTTGTACAAATGCAGCCACTAGCTCTTTAGCTGACTTGGTTGGCGGGTGTTGCAGTGTACAGCCAATAATTGCAGATGAATTTGTTCTGCCGTATCTTTTCTGTAATAAAGCTTCATCTCTGACTAGAGTTTGTATTGTATCTAGAGATTACCCTGCTACTATAACTGCCTTTTATAATAATAGACCAGGACTCTTTAACACTGAGGACGCAAGCCATGAGATGCCTTCAAGAGTTAAAAAGTTCTTAAATGGTGATTCAGGGGCAGGATTGTAAGTCACCGATAGAGTAGATATTTTGCATAAAGAAGATGCCACATTAAAGCCTTGGCAACTCCAATAGGGCTGGAAAAATCTTTCTGAAACCTTATAGAACATTTCCCAGTCACTGTAACTAACATCAAGCTGCAGACAACATTGGTTGGATTCAGGAGAAGGTACTTTTTGATGTTCATATGAGCAGAAAAACACCCAATTAACAGGGAAATGACTAGTTTAACTAGAAGCATACATACAAAAGCTCTTTCCAGGTGGCACTTTGTGGTTCTTCTTGAGATCTGAATGAGAAGAGAGCGAGGATATTCCAGGCCAAGGAACACTGAGATATGTATTATAAGGCAATGTCCATTTCTGATATTTTGTATCAATTACTTCTTCTCCGTATCCCATGAATCCCCATATCTAACTGGATTTAGGTTTTGGGTATAAGGAGAATTATTATAATAAAGTTCTTTTGTGATAATGGACAGGAAATAGGAATTCAATTCAAAAGGCTCAGGATTGGGTATCCAGATGTTTATTTAATTTGTACAGCACTGTTGGAACTGCCTTCACACACAAGAACTAAGAGATATGAGTGACTGGCTCATATCTAACACCTAAAACAGAGTCTATAACAGATCTGGACTCTGTCTTGGGCAGAGGATCCATTCTCATGCATACTAGAAACCCACAACAGTAAACTAATATGAGGTGGAAGTTTTTGCTCAACCATCCCCAAACCTAAGTTGGTGATCAAACCCTGGCACCATCACAGAGGAAGCCTTTAACATCACCAAGACCCAGTCTGAGCAGAACAATGTTACCCACTCTGTTTCCAAATGGTCCCTTAATTCCTCCTCATTGTTCACTCACACCCTAAAGGTAACTCCAAGTCCACAATCATTTGTATATAAGCTTAATATGCAGAGCATTTCTTCTAGCTGACTTTATAGGACACAAGACTTAATAGGAAGGGAATGGTGGCAGTGTATAAGAAACTAGAGTTACCTGCTAGGAGAGAGATGTCTGCACTCTGCAAAGTGGGCATCCAGCTGTGCCAGCATGTCCTGGCATTCTGTGTATGAGAAGGGATAGCAGAAGGCAAAGTATGTGGTGGCTCCTCGACAATCCAGGAATCGGTGCACAAAAGACAGGACAAACTGAGTCTCCGCCATCTGCATGAATTAAAATGCCCAAGCATGATCTCCAGTACAAACTGAAGCAATACAGACAACCTAAGCACACAAACAGGCACTAGGTTCTTCCCAGCCTGCTGCCACTAAGGTTTGCACAAGATCCTTAGTTTTTTAGTATTACCTGGATTAGATCTTCAGCCATGCCAGATATATCACTGCCTTTATTATTGTTACAGCCACAATACAACCCACATGTTGTGACATTTTAGACAAATGAGTCTAAAAATGTAATTTGTGTCATGATGTTAAAATAAGGATCTAGAAAAACTGTATTATGTAGACTCAATTCTTCAGTTCATTCTTTTGGACAGTGTAAGCACACATGCATTTTTTTATATCGTTAAGCAGTAAGAAGAATCATATAACCATGTATCTGTGACTCAACTAAATAGCCTGAAATTAAACCAAGCTGATATTGGATCCTGGGGTAAGTGGCAGAGGGGGAGAATAAATTAGCGTATTCCAACTCTTTGGACCATGGAAGAAACAGTCCAATAGAAGCACAAAGCAGATAATCTCTGGACATCTTAGTCAACACTCAAGGCTCCTCTTTCTGATGACTAGATACTGCCCTTGCCATTCCTCCTATACAAAGCCCCACACTGGTTGTGGCTCAAATAAATCCACTTTTCCATCTACCTCCACATTTAAGAAAGTCATATATTGCTTCTGGAGGCTATCGGGACAGAATTAGTACACTTAAGCCCAATCTCAGCACACCAACCTCAGCACATCCTTCCTCAAAGTACATGTTATGCAGATACCTCAAAGGCAGGCCGCTCACGGATGCGTTCCCAACGGGGCCTGATAGGTATTGTCTTTACTAAGGGTGTCATCCCCTGTGAATAAAGTTTGGTCTGCTTGTTCATGTTCACAATATGAATCTTGATCAACTTGCCTGGCATTCCTCCTCTCACACTAAAGTAAAACCAGGATCTGGGGAAGAAAAATGACACAGGAAAGAAAGAGGAGGGTCAGACAATAGCCACCCATCAGCTGATACACCTCAGACTCCAGAAGTTGCATTTCTGCCCAGAAGGACGAAGCATACTTGGAGTTGGGAACTATCATGGACTTTATATCTTTTCACAGTTGACCTTCATTCCTTTTCTGTTAAAAGAACAAAGCATGTGAAATTCATATTCTTTATCTGAGGGTTATCTGAGGGACCGCCTCTCCCCGATCACATCAGCCCATCCCATTAGATCCAGCAGGGAAAGTATGCTATGCATTCCATCAGCCAGGGACTTGCATTTGGTAGGTCCCAGGAGGCGGGCCTTCTCTGCCGTGGCTCCCTCCTCGTGGAACATTTTCCCTCATGAAGTTAGGCTCACCCCTTCCCTGGTGTCATTTAGGAAGTCCCTCAAGACCTGGTTGTGTCATCAGGCCTGGGGTCTTTGGGAACTGGAGACT